GGTCCCTCCCACAGGAGACAGCCCTTGATGGACCTCTCCAGCGTGAGTCCGTCCCATGGGCAACAGTTCTTCTCAAACTGCTGTCCCGTGGGTCACTCCTCCATGGGGTGCAGTGCTTCACAAATGAGCTGTACCGGCGTGGGTCCCCCACAGGGGCCACAAGTCCTACATGGGGAAAACCTGCTCCAGTGTGGGCTTCCCTCTCCACAGGTTGCAGGTCTCTGGCAGGACCCTGCTCCATCTTGGGCCTCCCACAGGGTCACAGCCTCCTTCATGCATCCACCTGCTCCACCATGGGCTCCTCCATGGGTTGCAGGTGGGTCTCTGCACCCCGATGGTCCTCCATGGGCTGCGGGTGGACAGCCTGCTCCACCATGGTCTGCACCACGGGCCGCAGGGGCCTCAACTCTGGCGCCTGGAGCACCTCCTCCCCCTCCTGCACTGACTTTGGTGTCTACCTTGTTGTTCTCATATTCTCACTCTACTCTTCCCTGACTGTAATTCTTTCTGCTCCACAACCTTCTGTTCTTAAATATGTTATCACAGAGGTGTTACTATTGCTCCTGATTGGCTTGGCCTTGGCCAGTGGCAGGAAGTCCATCCTGGAGCCGACTGGCATTGGCTCCACTGGACAAGGGAAACTTCTAGCAGCTTCTAACAGAAGCCACCCCTGTAGCCCCCCCGCTACCAAAACCCAGCCACAGAAACCCACTACAGTTGGTTAGAGCATGATGCTAATAATGCCAAGGTTGTGGGTTTGATTCCCATACGGGTCATTCACTTTAGAGTTGGACTCGATCCTCGTGGGTACCTTCCAACTCAGAATATTCTGTAATAAAAGAAACACTCTGTGATCTACCACCTCTCTGGACATTTTTTAAATTCCTCCAAGGATGGTGACTCAACCACTTCCATGGGCAGCCTATTCCAATGCTTGATAACCCTTTTGGTGAAGAATTTCTTTCTAATATCCAACTTGAACCTCCCCTGTCACAACTTGAGGCCATTTCTTCTCATCCTATCACCTGCTACTTGGGAAAAGAGACTGACACCAACTTTGCTACAATCTCCTTTCAGGTAGTTGTAGAGAGCGATAAGGTCTCCCCTGAACCTCCTTTTCTCAAGACTAAGCAACCTCAGCTCCCTCAGCCACTCCTCATAAGACTTGTGCTCTAGACCCTTCATCAGCTTTGTTGTGCCTCTTTGGACACTCTCCAGTACCTTGATGTCTTTCTTGTAGTGAGGGGTCCAAATCTTAACACAGTATTTGACGTGTGGCCTCACCAGTGATGAGTACAGGGGGGCAGGCGATCCACTTTCCTAGTCCTGCTGGCCACACTATTTCCGAAACAGACCAGGATGCCATTGACCTTTTTGCCCACCTGGGCACACTACTGGCTCATGTTCCAGTTGGCTGTCCATCACCCTCAGGTCCTTTTCCACTGGGCAGCTTTCCAGCCACTCTTCCCAAGCCTATAATGTCTATGGAATTGTTATGACTGAAGTGCAGGACATGTGACACTCCATGCAGTTAAGGAGGGCTGGAAATGTTTTCTTTAGTGTTGCTTCTGGTTTAACCACAAGATCAGTCTGTGGGAAGAAACAGGATGGTTTATTGAGCATTGACCTAAGAAGGGACAGACTTGAGAAAGCACAGAGAAAGGACATTTTTATATATGTATGTCTAGTATTATATTTTTTTTTGTGTGGCTATATAAAAAAAGACATTGGATCCAGTTCTGTTCCCTTACAGACTTCTAGAAAAGCTGAAAATAGGAGTAAAAATAGTTTTAATTCAGCACCATTGAATCACAATTTTTGCAAATTTTAGTATACCTTTTGATCTCCAAATACAGTTTATTATCAACCTTAGGCTGACAAAGCCTTAATACAGTGCCACCCAATTAAAGAATCACAAAGAATCACCAACTCCTTTGGGTTTATTTTCTTGTTTGTCTATATATTGCAATTTTTTATAGACTCACAGAGTAAATATTCTGAAGTACTGTTTTCTCTAATGTAATGCAGATGACTTTATCAGCATGTTTTCTTTTCAATTGTGTATGATTTTAATTGGTACCTAAACTCCCACTAAAGAATTACAAGCTTCAAGTTTTACTTATTTTTAAAACCAAGTAGATGATACAAACATGTTCTTACCATCTCAGTGGCTATATTTTTATTTGTTACTACCTGTCCCAGAAAGGGGGGGGAGGGTAACCCAGGTTCTTATTAATAAATCCCTTGGGGTGGATTAGAGTGAAACGACACTAAATAATTGGTGTTTGAAAACATATATATGTAGGGTTTATTTTAGAACAATTTTGTTTCAAAGGTAAACAAGTATGTTGCCATTTTGGGTGTTATCATCTATATCTCTCATCTATAGCAGTATGGCATAAAGATAACCTTTAGGGAAAATGCATAAGGGAGAGAAAGGAAAGACAGGATAAGGGTAAGGGAGAGTAAGGGAAAGAAAAGATGAGAGTGGAAAAATGTATATAGTCACCGCCCATGGGGTCCAATAATGGAACTTGGTAGTTGCAGCTTCCATATCTGATTTTCTTATGTATTAGTTAAAACAAAGTTTTTAATAAGAGTTAATCCTGTCAAAATGCATACCATATACTATTCTGTGCTTTATGGATTCATATTGAACAGACTCTTGTACTAAATGTGGGACATATCTTGCAGGAAAAAATGGAAAATATTACAGAATTATTAAGGCAATGTGCAATATGGTGCTTTATTTCACTTCATATATATAAGAACTTGACTCCATTGTGTAGGTTTCAGAAAACGGGGAAAAATTGAGATCTGAGGGTACCCTGAAACATTTATTTTTTTTAGCATGCAGTAGTTCTACATTGCCTGAGTCTGTAATTTTATAAACTCTTGAAAAAAAGAAATGTTCTCTCCCCTCTGGTAGATTACATCCTGGTGGCTGGTTAATGCCCTGCAGAGATGGTCTGTATATTTGGTGCTTTGCTCTTGATCACAGCAGTTTGGGGATCATAGTGAAGGCTGATTGTAGAAGCAGGTTTGGTCTAACCTTTCAACTCTGGAGAAGTTTCATTGCAGCAACAACCATTTGTGTTTCCACAAAAAAAGGAAAATAGGCCTGTATATAACATTGTACTTGATTTTCTAGGAATGTGTGTGTAAGGAAGACTTGTGTTAAAAGTTTGGTCTATACATGGGGCTGAAGGTTTCAAAACAAAGTCCACAGTGTCACAGTCTGTTTGGATCTCAAATTTTCAGGACAACATACTCTGTGATTTAAACTTTATATCATGGTCTCAAGAAATACAAACGGGCTCAATCCCCTTTTGACCAGACTACTCTATCATGTGAATCCACTTATTCACCATTGAAGTCATAAGGTTTCATAACTTATAACCCATAACTCTTAATATTGTGTACCTATGAGCAAAAGAAAAGAATTAGTTACCTAACCGACAGTGAGAGTGCTCATCCTTTCTCTTCTATCATGGTGCGGGCGTCTCCTGTATCACACTGGGAAACATGAAAGCCTCAGCAGTCCAGCTGCTGTTGGAGCCACTTAAAAAGATTTTTGGGTAAGCTTATGTTTTATACTCTCCAGCTTGGAGATTTGGTCTATACTATTTCCATAATTTAGCAGATTCTGAGGAGACTGCCAGACAAAAGAAAATGGCTGAAGGAGACAACAATTTGGAGGTGATAATGGTTGTATATTGGCCCTTTAGCTCTTTCTGGCCACCTATCCTCTGCCTACCTGGTGCTTTGGCTTTGACCTAATGGTGCTGCTCCCAGCATACATCAGGCCTCAGCAGGAGCTGCCTTAGCCAAAAAATTAAGCAGGAGTTGAATGAACAGTCATGCATAGTAAAGACAAAATCTTTTAGAGACTTCAAGGTTATATTTGGTGGTGTACTACCTGAAGTACTTAAGAGTTGCAAGCACAGAATCATGCTTTAGCCTTGCATTGCACTGCTTGTGAAATACACTACTCTGAAACGCCTAAAATATCATGTAAAACATAAGGCTTTCTTTGTCCTGGGAGCCAAGTATGATGCCTGAAAGCTTTATAAAAATGATCAAAATAAAATCTAGGCTGAAAGGCTAAGAAGTACTGCACACAGGTAAATGCATTACATTTCTTAGGGAGCTAAGAAGCTAGGTGAACATACAGCATTCTGTGCAACTGTTTGTTTTAAATTTCAATTCCTCCTTATAAGTTATTCATATGATTTTTTTGCTTAGATGAGCTCTCCTAATCACAGAGAGAATGAATTGGGCCAAAGGAAAAATGTTGTGTGATATATTTTGTGCGAAATTCCAAACAAGCAAATCTTAACTTTAAATTGTTAAACATGCAGAATGTTAACTTATTTGTGCTTTGTGTAAAGTACAAAGATGCAAAGAAATTTAAAGAAAGTAATGACTCCCCATTAACAAATATGAGCCAAATTTTACTTAAAGTTGATTTTATATATTTCTGAGGTTGAAGTTTGCACAACTGTAATTGTTATATTATTTGTCTTTCTAACAAATTTATGTATTGGCTGTATATTGCTGCTTAACATAATGTCCTGAAAGTTGGCCAAGTAAGCTAATTTTTTTTCTTACTCTTAATTTTTGTGATAGAACATCTCATAGAAATTCCCTATAGTTGAGAACTATATCTTCAGGAATGGAAATTTATGCTTATAATTTTAAATACACAGTGGCGTATTCTAGATTTTTTTAGAGTATATTTTGTTTTAGTTATTAGTTTAGTTAGTAACTCATTGCTATCTTTTTTATTTCTACTTCTATTTTGTCTTCAAAATAAAAGTTTCAATTCGTTGTTGCTTCAGTTGTTACTGTGTTACTGCTGTTTTGATATTGAACTGATCCTTGTAGCAAGCACCATAACCACTTGACAGTGTTCTGCCCTGCACTGAACAAGCTGTCTGCTTTGTGCAGAAGTCATGTTTGTGTCCAGTGGCTGAAGTATCTTCTTATTTGTCTTGCAGGCACAGGAGAGAGTGGCAAAAGCACGTTCATCAAACAGATGAGAATCATTCATGGATCAGGTTACTCTGATGAAGACAAAAGGGGATTTACAAAACTGGTGTACCAGAATATATTTACAGCAATGCAGGCCATGATCAGAGCCATGGATACCCTCAAAATCCCATACAAGTACGAACATAATAAGGTGAGATTTTTGTTTATTTCCATAGCTGAAACTTTTCCTCTTTTATCTTTAGGAAATGTACTGAAGGTCTCTAAAAATTATAAATCACATACGAATTATATTTTACCTAAAGTTTAGAAGAAAAGGGCTTCTTCCAGTCCTGCCTCTAGTTCTCTGCCCTTTGCACTGCTCTGACAACACAGGTGCTGTTCTTAACAAGAATGTCTGAAGGGTTTGTTATAGCAAGCAGGCTGGTGTTTGCCTGTGACAGAGTTGCTTTGAATCCCTTCTTTCACTTCTTTAATTCTCATGTGCATCAGAGTTCATAAAATGTATGCCTTGTCTGGGGCAAGTAATACTGTGAAAAGAACTGTTATGATTAAGGTATTTTCATACTAATTAAGTTTGTTTCAAGTTGATGACTTTGCAGTTTTCTTCATGTGACCAATAGGGCAGAGTTTAAATTTGACTTGTTTTGTTTTAGTTAACCATGTTACCTAATTTGTATACAGTGTAACAATAGATTGCATGTCCATGTTTTGCAAATTTGGAGTTTTTCTTGAATATTTTCAAAATGTCACTTATGTGCCAAGTAGTTTGCTTGAAGATGTTCCTCTATTTTTAGATATTATTTTCTTTAATTAGCTATGACCCTTTTTTTGAGAATATATGCTCTCAGTATGTATTGTTGGCTGTACAAGCAGATAAATGAGCACTCTTGGGGTGTGCATGTGTTCTTAGCATCTTACCTCCAGTCCTTATCCAGCTTTAGCTATGTTTTTTCCTCTCCTCCCAACTCATGTTCTGGCCAGAGCACAGTTAAGTAATTTTTCTGGTTTGTACCAGTACTACTCAAGGTTTTCCATTAATAATATGTGGGGAAAAAAATAAATTATTGGAAAAATAGGTAGGAATATCTGCTTGTGTGTGAGTATATTCTGAAATAAAACTTTTGATACAAGACCTTAGAATAAGCAAGTTCTTTTGAAAGTGATGAGATCATTGAAACTTAGAGAAAATGCATTTAAAGCATTTTGTGAGGTTTATCTTTGATTAACATAACTTCTTTCAGGTTTTGTTCCATTTAGAAATTTTCCATTCAAAATGAAAAGTATAACAGGTATAACTAATATTAACAAGGAAATTTGCATATGTATTTCAGCTCCATGTTTTTGCTGTACACAAAGCACTGAATTTCCTAACAAGCTGATTTGAAAACTTAGTTGTGAAGCACATTTTTTTTTCAAAATCAGTATTGACAGTCACTTTGCTGTAGTATATGAAAGTCCTAATCACAAATCAGTAAATTATTTTCTTGTATTATATTGCAAAATATATATTCTACAGTTATTGTTCAAATTGAGTGTTGAATGTATATAGGCTGTTTTTATATAGTTGTAGTGAATTAGTTAGATGTGACATAGCTGTATACGTGTGGTCAGACCTTTCTAATTAGAGTTATTCACTTTCTCTCGATCAAAATAACTTAATTTAAAGTACGTGAATCTATCTTTGCACTCAGCTCCTTCACAAGCATTTCCATCAGTTCTAGCTGTGGAGTAAAGTACAACTTGCCGAAGTGTCCAAGTTCTATATACAATTCCTTTAAAAACTTGGGGATTTTTTTAATTCAGGGAAATTAAAAATGCAAACTTGTCTCTCCCCCCCCCCCTCTTTTTTTCCTCCATTGAAGGTAAACTCATTAGCCTTGCAACCTAAAAAACACAGGAAGGGCACTTCCTTTTAATTTGAATCTCATATCAGAAAATTCAGCCTCTGGAGAGAATATCTCAAAGTTTGAGTAACAGCATATTTTTAGCACAGTACTCATCTTGCACAATAGCTTAGGAAACTACAACTGTGCTGGTTTAAAAGTAAACCAGTAGGAGAAATGAACCCAATTTAAGAGAGATTACAAGTCAGAGTTACAATTTACTACAAAGAGTACAATAAATACAGTGATACAGAGAAAACTGGTTTTAACCCACGAAGACATGTATAACCCAGCACCCTGGGACAAGAACAGAACAGTGTTCGTTAGCCCCTGTGCTGAGCACCACATGATCTCCCTGGGTGCAAAGTAAAAGGAAAGGAAACCTGTTGGTCAGGATGATGATCACAATTCCATTGAAGTAATGATCGCAGTCTTGTTGAGAGTGGCAGTCGCAGTCCTGTTGGAGTTCTGGTCCTTCTCTGGATCCCATGAGTGGTACCAGAAGTCCCCAAACCCAAAGATTATATATGCTCAGGTTCAGGTGGGAATGCCCACTACCTCCCCCAGGGCTGGGAGTTTTACAGTGGGTGATTTAACTCTGTGAGTCATGGAATATTTTTAGAATCTTTGATGTTCTAGGTTGTTTCAGCTGCCTATTTTATGCCAGTCCATTATGGACGGTTAGCAGAGGTGACCCCTCAGGCTGGGTGTGAAGGTGCCAATGATTCCTAGGAGGGAAATTATCACAGCTGAGTCATTGATGTGAAGACAGAGAAACATTCCCCTGCCTTGCAGGGTTTCTTTAACACCCAGCTTGTAGCCTGAGGTGTCAGGTGTGCCCTGGGCAGCTGTTGCAAACAATCCATTTATTAACAGTCCATCAGAAATGACATGGAGGGTGTAGAATACACAGTTTTGGTTATACCCACATAGTGATAACCTGGTCCCAGCCCCTGTAACTAGGACAACAGCTCGAGGTGATGTTTGTGTGGCTAAGCCTAAAGAAAAGAGAGTGAAGTGACACCCTTATCAAATTCAAAAAGTCCAGTTAAGTAGACAGTTGGGATCTTTGTACAGTGTAAAAAAAAATGACATCCAGGCTGGATTATTTTAATATCATCAATGTAGGAAGAGGCATGTTTTAAGTTAAGGAAGTTAGTTCTTCCAGTGTTGTGTTGACTTCATAGTTATCAATATAATTAAAGAGGCTGAGTCTGAAATTCATTGTCCTATATTATAATGATCTAGGATCTTTGAAATATTTATTATCAGAATAGTGAAAGTCAATGGAGAAATGTAAACATTACTGTTTACATTGTAATGTATTAGAACTGAAAATAAAGCATTGTATTGTGATAAACAAAGTCTTGAGTTTCTATAAGTTTTTGAATAAGAGTTTATTATATGGTAAAAGCAAGCAGCCAGCTGGGTGACAGAAATGGGGACCAGTTTCCCAAATCTGCACACCTACTACAGGGTACATTTAGTATTTATCTTAGCTACTTCATGCATATTAACTTATTGATTGGTGATTTTTGATTTTTATAATATTAATTTTGTATATTTTGTCTTAGTTATTGTATACAGTAATAGAGTCAAAAGTTTCAAAAATGTCTTTAAGTTTTCATTCGTCGGTTTATGTCTTAATTTTATTTTAAATTTTCTGTTGGCGATGTTGTCTACGCAGATCTTGGCGTTTTCTTGACTTTGGTGTAATGTATTTAAGGAAATTGCTTTTTTTAAATTTTGATTGCAGTTCATGTAATTAGCATCACTTGATATAGATTTTTCACTTTGGCTCCAGGGGTTCACCTGTAAAAGATCTTACATATATATAATCTCTATGTATAACATTATGAATTGGCCTCTCGAGGTTACAAGCTTGTTTCGAGGATTAGCTCTTTAACATTTTTAAGTTGCCTTTTATAAATGTACTATGTAATTTTTAATAGTACTTTTATCATGTTTCTGGCTAGATTAGTTTGACCAGGATACGCCTCAGGTCAACCTGAAAAAGTGTCAGTGAGAACAAGCAAATATCTATACCCCTCTTTTTCTGGATAGTTCTAAAAATCGATTTGCCATTCCTGTCTTGGATAATTATTTTTTTCTATTTGTCTTAGTTGAATTTTACTATGCGTCTCCTGTCTCACAATGGTATAGAGATTTCATGTTACTATATTTTGGCTTAGATATTTGTATAGAGCTTCTGCTCCTAATGTGTTTTCTTGTGTTCTGTTAAGTGCTCATAAAATAGAAGAGGATATTACTAACCCTGTGGTGTCTTGGCCCATTTGTTTTTCTTCTATTTTTCCTCTTAAATTCTGGATTAACTTTCAGTCTTCTTTAGAGTATCTAGGCTCTGTCTTTGACTACTGAATTTGAATTTTACTGTCAGGGATCAAATATTGGATTTTGCTTTCCTCTGCTTTTACTGTCCTTTTTGCCTCCGATCATCCATGGCATTTCTTCTTTCATGGCCAGTAACACCCCTTTTTTTCTGGTGAGTTTTTCAATGCATAATAGTAACTTTTCTGGCAACTGAAGTGTTATAATCTCTGGTTTTCAAGTTAAGGTATTGACGGGGAGGGCTCTTGCCTTTATTACTTCATTTATCGTGGTTATTGCATATCTAGTTTTACGTCCTCTTTTCTAGACGAAATTTTTTTCTCTGTGAACCAGAAGTTTTTAGCATCTTTTAGGGGTTCTTCTTTCAAGTCTGGTCAGTTGGAGTACGTGGCTCTTATTGTCTCTAAGCAGTCATGTGCAACTGTATTTTTAGTGGCTTCTTGAAGAAAAAGCTGGATTGACAATATTAGTGATTATTTTGTTCAATCAGTGTGGTTTGGTATTTCAGAAAGTGCTGAGGTGAAATCCAATGATTTAAATCAAGGGCTAGAGCCCTCATCAGTTTTGTTTTAGCTTATGAAAAACTTTATTAGTTTTTTTACCCCAAGTGAGTATGTTGGACTCACCTTTATGAGTTCACACAGGGGCTTTACCAGAAGTCCATAACTGTAGATCTATAAACGACATCATTCGGTCATTCCGATTAATGTTTGGAGCTCTTCCTTTTCCTATGGCCAGGGAGTCTGGTAGATAGCTTCTTTCTTTGCTGTTTCTAGGGTTCGTTGTCTTGCAGCGATTTTGTAATCAAGGTAGGAGACTTGTATAGCTACTTGAACTTTCTGTGGAGAGACTCAGTACTCAATTGATCTGAGACAGTTTAGTATGTTAACAGTTCATTTAATACATATTATTTCGGACTTTCTTTCTCCTGCAAGGATTTTCTCATTTAAAAGCGAAT